ATTGGCAGCAAGTTCGTTGTGCTTAAGGGGTGAAAACAGCAGTATTCTTAAGGTTTGTAGAAAGAGGAAGTACCAAAGTTCATAAGGCTGGTGAGTAGTGTGAACCAGCAAGATGTCAAGAGGGAGAATTATGTAGACCCCACAAGAAGCACTATTCGGGCTTCTCACTGGGAAGAGGCCATAACTGAAACAGGAATGAGGAAGGAAGAGTTGATTTGTCAGGGGGAGTAGTCGATGTATACAAACTGCCGAGGGAGTGCCTAGACCTAATTACTGACATGATCTAGCAGGTCGCGTTCTGAAAGAGTTTGGCTTTGAGAAATCCCCCTAAACTTTATGCGGTATCAAAACAAAAATGAAAACAAACAAAAAAAATACTGGATAGGAATCTCTAGATCTGCCCTCTAAGTCCTATGATTTGGGAAATTTCTTTCTTTTTTTTTTTTTTTCAGCTTTAATTGAGTTTATTGGTACATTTTAGGGATACAGTACAGTTACATTCATTGTTGGGATCTTGTATCTCTACATGACAAGTCTTGATTCTCATTTTTTCCCTTTACCTCTGCCCTCCCTTCACCCCCTCCTCCCCTCCCCATCTGCAAACACTTTATTTTCATCTTTTCATTCTCTCACATTTTTTTCTTTTCCCTTTTTACTCTTCCCCTACCCATCCCACCTTCCCTACACCTTTAGCTCCTTTCTTCCCATTTCTAAATATCAGTAATCTTATTAGAATCTTATGCATTGTTGCAGATTATTCACACCACGGGGAAATTTCTTAACCAAACACCTGCCTTAATGTTTTTCTCTGTAAAATTCTAAAGGAGGCTAATGTAACAAACTGCAGAGGGATGAGACCATCTGAGCGAGCTAGTGAAAGCAAAGAGGTAGACTTTATTCACCTGGGCAGAGGTAGACTGATGGCAAGCAGGAGGCCAGCAGCCTCGAACAAAGAAAAGGCAGAAAGCTTTATAGGGCATTGGAAGAGAGTTCTGGCACATCTGTCCCTTCCTTCCCTTATAGGGGTCAGAGCAAGTATTTGTGGTTGGGGGTCCATGTAGCGATTGAGGCAGATATGGTTTTTTTTTTTTTGGTACCGGGGATCAAACTCAGGCCCTTGCGCTTGTGAGGCAGGTGGCGGCACCTCTGAGCCAAATCCCCAGCCCTGAGGCAGATGTGTCGATATTTTCAGGTGACTTGGCAGTGGAAAGATGCTGTGCTTTGTAGTTGTTATCTCTACGCTGGCAACATCCTATCCTGTGTTCTGTGTTCTATCTGCTCTGAGATAGTATGGCAGAGACAGCACCTGCATCGGCTGCCTGTTTTTCTTTCTTTGTATCTTGTCAAATTGTAGCTTGGAATTACAGAGCATATTCATTAACCATTTCACTACCAGGTCAAGCCCAACAGTTAATATGGTCATTAATCTATAGGTTATCTAATTCTCTGAATATTGATTATAGAGTAGATTCTCATTCTGAAATAATTAAATGAAAACTGTGAAAGTTTTTCTTTTCTGCCAGTCAGTTTATTACCTCAGTGTTAGTTAAAAATATGAGTATGGCAGTTTCTTCTTAAAAATGATTGTGTTCCAAATGCAAAGAATGCAAAGGATTTTCCCTTAACAGTCAATGCCATGTATACATGAGATGTTCCTGTGTGTAGGATTTCTCTTCTTCAGGGCATAGAATATATTAGGCACGAATGTGGCATTGAGAGATTGGAAAACCTTGGGAAGGGTATAGAGATGCTGAGATTACCTCATTAAGCTTACCTGGGCTGCTTTTTGCCTTAGTGCTGCTGCCGGTACTTTTGGAGCTCCACTGAGATGGTCACAGCCACGGTGGCTTGGGGAGGTACAGGAATCTCCTCTTTTGCTAATTCTTTCCCTAATAGGTAGGGTACCTCAGGAAACTGGAGCAGGATATGTTGCTGCAGTTCAAGCTGGAATTCATTTTCCTGTGGAGGTATAGGTTGTTACACTCTGTAGTGCCTATAATTTAAAGACGTAATAGCATTTTCTTCTTGAAGCATTATACTGTATCTGAGGAGCTTGAGGCTTCGATCCCAATTTTATAAGAACTCATAACCTCCTAACTTTCAGTCAGATGTCGTTTGACTCACAGTCAAGAGAATCAAGTTCAGTATTTGCCAAGAAGGGCCTGAGCTCTAAACAGCTGCTATCATTTTTTTGAAGTTTATTGGTCAGTGCAAAATGAACATGTCCCCAGAGATGGTAAATTGTCAGTAATTATGGGCTTGTGATTTGTTTTATGGAAGATTTAAATGTGTGAAGCCTTTTATTGCTAAAGTGGTTTTTATGGGTTCTCTTGTTCATGTTTTCTAATTTAGATCTTTAGTTAAGGTATTATAGTTTTGACTGATCAGCATTTTAAATTTCAAGGTGGGTCAGGAATTTAGCTCAGTGGTTCTGCTACCTGCCTCACAAGTACAAAGTCCTATGTTCGATCCCCAGTACTCCCCAATAAATAAATAAATAAATAAATAAATTTCAAGGTGCACTTTAGAAAGCAAAGCTATTAAAATGTTTCTCAACTTTTCATATTCAGTAATTACCAAATTTTGCTTTCAATGTCCAATATTGCTTCACTATAAAATTGGATAATAAATATACTTTGGAAAATTATTATACATAATCCATTTTATATGAAGTATACAGGGGCTCATATTAATAAATATATTGTATTTTTAATAAGCTTTCCATTTTGTTTTGTTTTTGAGACAGGATCTTGCTTTGTAAGTTAGCCTTGAACTCTGTGTTGCCCAGGCTGTCCTCCAACTCCCAGTGATCCTCCTGTCTCAGCCTTCTAAATGCAGGTGTGTGGCACTGTGGCCTAGTTAGCTTTCTATTTAAGTCTTTAGTTGGGAATCATATTGGTGGTGATTGCTTAACACATCTAGTGTTGACCAAAGAATTACACAGTCAGCTTAGATTAATGAGCATTCTCTTGCTTAAATATAATTTAATCTGACTAATATGCTTTAACTAGCTTATATTTTGGAGAGAATTCTATTGATATGAACAAGGTTGGTTTGTAGTAACCCTCCTTTCTCCAAGTTCCTGCATTTAGCTTTGAGCTATAGTAACAAAAGTTTGTAAAGAGAGGTTTTAAAATTTAGTTTCCATGTGTAGAGATTGAAATCTAGTGGATTTCAATAAAAGCTCTGCATAATATTTAGAGATATTATTTAGTGTTAAAGTGTAATTGTCTAATTTTTATTTTAGTGTTAAAGTCCAATATGTAGTTTTTAACAGACTGGACAGAGAAGAAAGCCTGTATCTTCTAAATTCATTTATTTTTTTTCTAGATAATTAGTTCCAAAGATGTCATATAACTCTTAAGACAACTGACATGGGAATTTGGGGACCTTTCTAGTTCCTGAACCTCACCTTTTGTACCCTGTATATGGTGGAATTACAGAATATGATGTCTGAAGTTTCTGCTTTTGTGGAAATGTATGATTTAAAATTATTCATATTCATTCCTTTATTCCTGTTCCTTATGAAATTTTATAAGTGGTATTTTGTTTCTCTCTGAAGCTTTTTTATTGTAGTGATGTGATATAAAGAATATACATGAAAGCTGGGTGTGGTGACATCTGCCTGTAATCCCAGCAGTCGGGAACCTGAGGCAGGAGGATTGCTGTGAGTTTGAGACCAGCTTGGGGTACATACTGAGTTCCAGGGCAATCTGAACTACATACTGAGACCCTGTCTCAAAAAAAAAAAAAAAAAAAAAAAAAAAAAAAAAAAAAAAAAAAAAAAAAAAAAAAAGAGAGAGAGAATATATATGAGATACGTAGAGAAATTGTGAGTTTAATGTAGTTTAGTCCATATAAATTGATCTATAGTTTCAAGAAAGCTGCTTCAATTGCAGCTTTTTCTGAATTCATGTCATGGAAAATGCAAATACTCCCTTGCTTTTATTTTTGTTGCTGCCTTGGAAAGTACCACCCCCTGTTAAGTTAATTGGTACATTTAAAGCAAACAATACAGTACATTTATCATTGGAATCTTATACCTTTACGTGATATGTCTTGGTTCTTATTTTTTTCTCATACCCCTGCCCTCCCTTCAACCCCTTCACTCTTCCTTATTTGCAAAGACTATGTTTCCATTAGTAGAAATCTGTTTTCCCACCATCCTGAAGGAAGGCTGCAATGATCTTTTCTTCCTCCAGATGGCACACTCTGCCATAACATTGGGCTGGTGCTGCACGATTAAATAGAACCACAGTAGTGTTTACTGATGTTGTATAATCTCCTGGGATCTATGCAGCTCCTCTAGAGGAGGAAGCCAAACTTCATACTGCTCTGTGTGTCTGGCTAGATTCGCCACCTGCTGCCTTTAGGTCTTTAATTTTTAGTACTGTCTGATGCTGCTGTGTGCATAATTAGCTGTTCGAAACATTCAGAAACTAGTGAAGAGAGCTTGAAAAAAGATTAATGTATATGTGTTAAAATAGTAAATATTGTTTGAATTAAAGAGTTTGTGGAAAGGGGAATTATAGCACAGTGGACCCCTTTTTCTTGACATGGGCTACTTAAGGAGGAAGCTCAGTAATCTAGGGGCCATTCTGGTCCTCTTACTGAATTTGAGACTTTAAGCTCAATTTCTAAGCTCATTGCAATAGTGAATCCAATGTCCTTGATAGCACTGACCAGAACACAGAAGGGACAAGCATTAAAAATGATGTTATATAGGAGCAGCCCTAAGTTTAAGAGTGTATGTGGGTCATGACTTATTTTGGGGGGCAAGTATGATAGTTCTATGTATCAAGAAGTTAAATGTATGAAAATCCACAATACTGAGCGTGTAGCTTAATTCTGTAATCTTGTAGGTGGATAGTACATTTTAGGACTCACAGAACTAGAACAGAGCTAAAACATCAGAGTCAGCAGTCTCAGTGTCTACAGGAAGTTTCACTCAGTAAAGCAGAGCCATTGTTGACTTACTTCATTGACTATTTCATTTTCAGAAGGTAAAGGAAGTAAGCAAAGGATCTGGTAACTCCCAATGCCTAATTTTGACCTGTTGTGAGAACTTAATCAGACAAGGAGACATAATGGGAATCCTGAGAGAAAGGCCATGTCATCCGTGCAGTAAGTGAGTCAAATTGAATGCCTTCTATGTGGCCAGTACTATTCTAGATGCCAGGGAACTAACATTAACTACAACAGACGCAGCCCCTGTCCCTAAGAAGCTTTCACTTTAGAGCTTATTACGATTTGTTGTCCCAAAAAGTAGCCTCATGGATATTGCAATAATCTAAACTTTTATTTCATTTTAGACACCAACTTGGCATGTGTGCAGTATTCATCATCTGAAAGTGCTTGTTTCAGAAATCTGAAAATTCTAACATTCTTCGTTCCCACATTGTCTGTTTTTCAGTCTCATACAGGTCCACCTTTTCTCGATTATCTAAGGTTTCTCCTTGTCTGTTAACATTTGAATGGCTTCTTCTCTTCCATGCCCAGCCTGTATCCTATTTTAGATCATGTGGACCATTTCTCACCTTTGGTTCTCTCTCACTCCTGCTTCTCCTATCTCTACCCACCCAAGCTCTCATTTCTAGATCAGTAATGTAGTCTGCAGCCTGTACTAGCAAGTGCAAAGTCCTGAGTTCGATGCCTGGCACCAAAAAAAAAAAAAAAAAAAAAAAATAAAAAAAAAAAAAGCAAAAAAAACTTTGTCAACTTAGTTGTGTGTGGTGGCACATGCCTGTAATCCCAGCACTTGGGAGGCTGAGGCAGGAGAATCGCTATGAGTTCAAGGACTACATGAGTTCAAGGCCAGGCTGAACTACATAGTGAGACCCTGTCTCAAATCAAAACAAAACAAATTCCTCAACATATGGCCTCTTTCTGTAGCTGCTATTTTTCCTGTTTTTCTAATGCTACTTTCTCAGAAGAGTAATCTGTATTTGCACCATTTTCTTATTCCTTCTGGCATTGGAAACCATAGGTGAGGGTGGCATAACTATTGAGAAGGTATACATTTTGAGTGTTACTGAAACTGGAGTGAATGGCATAGTGAGTTTAGTCTCAGTAGTTACTTCAAAGAAGTTGGTATTGGCCTAATGGACAGAGGACTCTGCTCACTTGGCTTAGGGATAGCTTTGCCCTGATAGTAGATTCTGCAGTCTTAACTCTTCTCTTGTGCATATTTCCTAGTTGAGAGCGCCGTGAATCCAGTTAACCAGTCTAACATGTAGAGAGTTGTCCTGATCTCCCTCACTTCCCAATCCGAATTACCACCAAAATGTTGCTCATTTTAACTTCTGAATGTAAATTTATTGAAATTTTACTCTCTGCTGTTGCTCTAGAAAATGGTCTCATCTTTTGCTTGACGTATTAACAACAGCCTGGAAACTGGTTTCCATGCCACTACATTTTTTTCCTCTAAAATATGTTTTCCATTTTACCTGTAGAACTATCCATCTGCTCAAGATTGTGCTATTCACATGTTTAAAATAATCCATGGGCTTCCTGTCACCTATATTACTACTTGTATCTGTGGCTATCAGCCATTGTTCATGAGAATCACTTATGAAGCTTGTCAAACATGCTGATGCTTAGGGCCCTCTACAGCTTTAGTGGGTTGGAGTCTCTGAAAGTGGGGCCTAGACAAACTCCATAGGTGATTTTCATGCAATCACTAGCCAATAGATTAAACTCCAAGGTTCGTACCAAAGTCTTCTATCTTCTGGTCTTTGCATTCCACTCCCTCTGTCCTTGTTTTTCCTGTTCTTCATTTTGCAACCATGACACCAAAGTTACTAAAGTTTTCTTGGTGACTTGACTTGGTGTGCTCATTCTGTTGTGAAATGCTTTTCTTCCCTCCTTTTTTGCCTTTACCTGTACAATCTCTGCTAAGGTTACTTTAACTCAAAGATTATCTCTGTAATGCAGATTCCCTGACCACTCAAGTGGGGCTAAATGCCCCTTAGCAGTATGTAGCACCCTATGTGTTGGTTTGCCCTTGCAAAGCTTTACTGAATAATTGGAAATAATTTGTGAAGAAAAGGAAGAGGTAAAGTGGTCAAATGAACTTCTATTAAAATAGCATCTGTAGGAAGAGAAAAGAAAGATGTAATATATATATATATAT